CCGGGAGTGGCCAATGCACTCCAGTCTGGGCGACAGAGTGAGACTCCAACTCAAAAAAAAAAAAAGTTTGTTGGGCGCAGTGATTCACACCTATAATCCCAGCACTTTGGGAGACTGAGGTGGGAGGATTGTCTGAGCTCACAGGTTCGAGACCAGCCTGGACAACTTAGTGAGACCTCATCTCTACAATAATAATTTAAAAATTAGCTGAGCGTGGTGGTGCATACCTGTAGTTCCAGCTACAGGTCGAGGCCGTGGTGGCCATGAACATGCCATTATACTCCAGCCTGGGCGACAGAGTGAGACTGTAACTGAAAAAAAAAAAGTTACCCTTTGGATGTGATAATGATTTAAAATTGGGACAGTAACCAAGAGTTAAATGAAGGACTCATGTTAGCACTGGTAGTCTACTAACTGGTAGTCCCTAGTAACTACTAGTGCTTAAATCTTTCCTGACTCCTCTTTTCATGTTTTTTCCTGGTTTAGTCTCAAGAAACACATTGCCTTGGTCTACCCTAGCCCTAGACTGTTTATCTATGTGACCTCGAACAGGTTATAGAACGTCTCAGAGCCTGTTTCCTCATCTGTATGTATGAATGCATGTACTGTGAATATTGGGAAATATAGTTTATTTAAAAGTATATTAGATAGAGAGTGAGAGGGAGGGAGTGAGAGAGAGAGAGAGAAGAGATTCGCTTCTCCAAGGTAGGAGAAGGGGCCAAGGCTAGAAAACATGGAGACTGTGACTCAAGGGCCACATGGTCAGAACATGGCTTAGCAAAGCAATGGCCATTAATATTTTATGATATTAAAATAATACTCTAAGTAATGAAGCATGTTAATGCTTGAAAAGAAAATCTGTGCTTTGAAAACAATATTTTCTTTTTTTTGTTTGTTTTGAGTCAGAGTCTCATTCTTGTTGCCCAGGCTAGAGTGCAGTGGCACACTAATGGCCACCACAGCCTCGACCTGCTGGGCTCAGGTGATCCTTCCGCCTCAGCCTTCCAAGTAGCTGGAACCACAGGCATGCACCACCATGCCCGGCTGATTATTTTCTTGATTTATTGTAGAGATGAGGTCTCGCCAAGTTGCCCAGGCTGGTCTCAAGCCTATGGGCTCAGGCAATCCTCTCACCTCGGTCTCCCAAAGTGCTAGGATTATAGGCGTGAGCCACTGTGCCCAGCCTTATACTTACTTTCGACATTTCCTCACTGCCTATTTTTTCTTGACCCATTCCACTTGGGCTTTGGCCATTCATACACGTGTCCAAGGCCACTGACAGCCTCTATCTTGCTTAATACAATTGCCAATTCTGTTCTTTTCTTCATAGGCCTCTCTTGGCATTTGAGGAACACCTATTGACACACTCTATCTTTTTTTTTTTTAATTTTAGATTCAGGGGGTACACATGCATGTTTGTTGCATGGACATATTGTATATGGTGGGGACTGGGTCCCAGGTGGCCCCATTCCCCAGATAGTGAACATGGTGCCCCATAGGTGGTTTCTGAATCCTCCCCCCTTTCCCACCTCCCTCATTGTTGTGCCCAGTGTCTATTATTTCCATCTTTGTGACTGTTTAGCTCCCACATATGAGTAAGAACATGCAGATACGCTCCATCTTGAAACACCACCTTCCCTTGGCCTCTAGGCTACCCATATTCCTGGTGGTCCTGCTCCTCTGCTCCTCTCACCTCTGTTCTCTCCTCCTAACCCAGCCCCGCCCAACCCAGGATCAGATCAGGGACTTCTCTCCTCTGGCTGTACACACTCCCCAAAAGATCTCATCCAGTCCTGGGGCTTTAAACGTCAGCAAAAACCGGGCTCAGTGGCTCAGCCTGTAATCCCGCGCCTTTGGGAGGCTAAGTTAAGTGGATCGCCTAAGCCCGCGGGTTCGAGACCCGCCTGGGCAGCGAGACCTCATCTCTACAGTAAATCAAAAAATCAGCCGGGCGTGGTAGCGCATGCCTGTAATTCCGGCTACTTGGAAGGCTGAGGCAGAAGGTTCACCGGAGCCCAGCAGGTCAAGGCTGCGGTGGCCGGGAGTGGCCACTGCACTCCAGTCTGGGCAACAGAGTGAGACTCCAACTCAAAAAAAAAAAAAAACGTCAGCAACATGCTTATGATTCTCAAATTCAGATCTCCTCTGCCCCAACTCCTCCCAGCTCTAGGTGTGGATAGCCATCTCCTGCTTGATCTCTATTTGGTTGTCTAATAGATTGGACTCAACATATCCAAACCTAAATTCTAAATCCAGACCACCATTAACCAGCTCCTCCTGAAGTAATTGTCATGCCACAAATTAGGAATCGTCTCTGATCCCTCTTTTTCACATGCCCCTGCCTAATTCATCTGAAAATCCGTCGTTCTAGGTTTTTTTTTTTTTCTTTTTTGAGTCGAGGTCTCACTCTGTCTCCCAGGCTGGAGTACCGTGGCACAACCATGGCTCACTGCAGCCTCGACCTCCTCTGCTCAGGGGATCCTCCTGTCTTGACCTCCCAGAGTGCTGGGGATTGCAGGAGTGAGCCACCACACCTAGCTCTGTCCTTATTTTAAAACTTTGTCCCAAATTTCCGACATCTCCTCCACTGCTACCACCTTAGTCACCTTGGATCCACCTCTCAACCTTGGAATATCCTTCTCTCAGGAGCCAGAGGAGTCTTCTAAAAATATAAATTATAAATGGGATCCTGTCACTCACCTCTCAACGTGGTCTGCCATGTAGGATTTTTTTGGGGGGCTGCAAATAGCAGAATTTCTTAAGTTCTCTTACAGGGGGAAAAAGCATATCCTAGAATTTATTTATATGTACATATATCAATAAGTTGTTTATATGTTATAAATATACATAATATAAATATAAAACAAATATAAATAAATATATATTCCACATTTCTTTCTCTTCTCTCCCTTTCTCTCTCTCCCTCTCTCTTTCTTTCTCCCCCCTTCCTTTCTCTCATGAGAGACAGAGATTGTTCCCAGTTTGCAAATAATGCTGTGATAAGCATTATATAGCATTAAAGAGTGTTAGAGTCAGAATGTACTAGTTTTGCTGCTTACTGGCTTGTGACATTGGACAAGCCACTAAATTTGTGTTAACCTCATTTTACTTATCTGTAAAATGATGGTAGTTATAGTAAACACTTCATGGGGTTGTTGTGAAAATTAAATGAATTAATATGCATAAATGTCAATTTAGAACAGAGCCTGGCATCTAGTAAATTCTCAGTATGTGTTATCTGTGATATATTTTTTTCTGGCTGTAATTTTTTTTTTTGGAATCAGAGTCTCTGTCGCCAAGGCTGGAGTACAGTAGCATGCTCATGGTCACTGCAGCCTTGACCTGCTGGACTCAGAGCATCCTTCTGCCTCAGCCTCCCAAGTAGCTGAAACCACAAGCACATGAACCACACCCAGTTGATTTTTTTAATTTATAGTAGAGATGAGGTCTCACCATGTTGCCCAGGCTGGTCTCGAACCCATGGGCTCAGGCAATCCTCTCACCTTGGCCTCCCAAATTGCTGGGATTATAGGCGTGAGCCACGGCACCCGGCCTTGTTTAAATTATTTTAACTTTATAATATTTTTATTATCTAGTAGAACTTACAGAAATTTCTTTCTTTTTTTGTTTTTTGTCTTGAGTTGGAGTCTCACTCTTGTCACCCAGGCTGGAGTATAGTGGCACGCTCACAGCCACCACAGCCTCAACCTGCTGGGCTTAGGCCATTCTTCTGTCTCAGCTTTCCAAGTAGCTGGGACTACAGACATATGCCACCACACTCAGCTAGTTTTTGTGATTATTGTAGAGATGAGGTCTTACCAAGTTTCCCAGGCTGGTCTCGAACTCCTGGGCTCAGGCAATCCTCTCACCTCCCAAAGTGCTGGGATTACAGGCTGAGCTACTGTGCCTGGCCAAAATTTCTTTTTTTTTAATTTACTTTTTAAATTATTATTTTTTTAGAGACAGGATCTTGCTCTGTCACCCAGGCTAGAGTGCAGTGGTACGATCATAGCTCACTTCAGCCTCAAACTCATGGGCTCAGGTGCCCTTCCCACCTCAACTGGGACTATAAGCATGCACCACCCTGCCCTGCTAACTTTTTTATTTTTATTTTTATACGAGTCAGGACCCTCCCCCAAAAAAACCTTGAACTTGGTTATAAAAAATTGTGTATTTAGCCGGGCACGGTGGCTCACTCCTGTAATCCCAGCACTTTAGGAAACTGAGGTTAGCCCAGAAGTTCGAGACCAGTCTGTGCAACATGGCTAGACCTTATCTCTACAATAAAATAAAAAAATTAGCGAGGTGTGGTGGTGTGCCCCT